GGTTCTTTATTAGTATTATTGTTTTTACTTTTAGATGGAGTTTTGCTCTGTCACCCAGGCTAGAGTGAAGTGGTGCAATCTCTCCTCGCTGCAACCTATGTCCCCCAGGTTCAAGCAATTCTTCAGCCTCAGCCTCCCCAGTAGCTGGGATTACAGGCACACGCCCCTACGGCCGGCTAATTTTTTGTATTTTTAGTAGGGACGGGGTTTCACCACATTGGTCAGGATGGTCTTGATCTCCTGACCTTGCGATCCATCTGCCTCGGCCTCACAAAGTGCTGGGATTACAGGCATGGGCCACCGTGCCAGCTGGGGATCTTTTAAAATGGGTGTCTGTGTTCCAGCCCTCAGAGATCCTAACTTAGTATGGGGTATGTCCTAGGTATTGGGATTTTAAAAAGCTAAGTGGTTCTAATTTACAGCCAAGGTTGAGGACCACTGGCCTAAGTGGAGCCTGCTGTTATTAAAAAGAAAATATGGATTTAATTGTGAACTAACCAGCAGGGAAAGCAAAAAGGGAAACTTGATCAGTTTCATAATATACATTGTCTCAAAGACAGGAAAGCTTTCTGTGCCTCTGAAGTCTGCAAGAAATCACTGAAACATTTTCTGGACAGTTGTGTGTGCATACACATATTTCTTGGGTCATTTGTATGCATTTGTATACCCCTTTTTGTACAAATGGACTCATACTGTATTTGCTCTTCTGCAACTTGCTTTCCTCTTTTTAAAATTATTATATTTTTAAGTTCTGGGGTACCTGTGCAGAACATGCAGGTTTGTTACACAGGTATACATGCACCACAGTGGTTTGCTGCACCCATCAACCCATCATCTACATTAGGTATTTCTCCTAATGCTATCCTTCCCCTAGCCCCCCAGTCCCCGACAGGCTCCAGTGTGTGATGATCCCTTTCCTGTGTCCATGTGTTTTCATTGTTCAACTCCCACTTATGAGTGAGAACATGCAGTGTTTGGTTTTCTGTTCTTGTATTAGTTTGTTGAGAATGATGGTTTCCAGCTTCATCCATGTCCTTGCAAAGGACATGAGCTCATCCTTTTTTATGGCTGCATAGTATTCCATGGAGTATATGTGCCGCATTTTCTTTACCCAGTCTATCATTGATGGGCATTTGGGTTGGTTCCAAGTCTTTGCTATTGTGAACAGTGCTGCAATAAACATACGTGTGCATGTGTCTTTATAGTAGAATGATTTATAATCCTTTGGGTATATATGCAGTAATGGGATTGCTGGATCAAATGGTATTTCTGGTTCTAGGTCTCTGAGGAATCGCCACACTGTCTTCCACAATGGTTGAACCAATTTACACTCCCATCAGCAGTGTGAAAGTGTTCCTATTTCTCCACATCCTCTACAGCATCTGCAGCTTCCTGACTTTTTAATGAGTGCCATTTTAACTGGTGTGAGATGGTATCTCAGTGTAGTTTTGATTTGCATTTCTCTAATGACCAAAGATGATGAGCTTTTTTTCATATGTTTGTTGACTGCGTAAATGTCTTCTTTTGAGAAGTATCTGTTCATAACCTTCACCCACTTTTTGATGGGGTTGTTTTTTTCTTGTAAATTTGTTTCAGTTCTTTATAGATTCTGGATATAGCTCTTTTTCAGAGAGATAGATTGTAAAAATTTTCTCCCATTCTGTAGGTTGCCTGTTCACTCTGATGATAGTTTCTTTTGCTGTGCAGAAGCACTTTAGTTTAATTAGATTCCATTTATCACTTTTGGCTTTCGTTATCATTGCTTTTGGTATTTCAGTCATGAAGTCTTTGCCCCTGCCTGTGTCCTGAACGGTATTGCCTAGGTTTTCTTTAAGGGTTTTTATGGTTTTAGGTCTGACATTTAAGTCTTTAATCCATCTTGAGTTAATTTTTGTATAAGGTGTAAGGAAGGGGTCCATTCTCAGTTTCTGCATATGGCTAGTCAGTTTTCCCAACACTATTTATTAAATAGGGCATCCTTTCCCCATTGCTTGTTTTTGGCAGATTTGTCAAAGATCAGATGGTTGTAGATGTGTGGCATTATTTCTGAGGCCTCTGTTCTGTTCTATTGGTCTATATATCTGTTTTGGTACCAGTACCATGCTGTTTTGGTTACTGTAGCTTTGTAGTATATTTTGAAGTCAGGGAGTGTGATGCCTCCAGCTTTGTTTTTTTTGCTTAGGATTATCTTAACTATACAGGCTTTTTGGTTCCATAAGAAATTTAAAGTAGTTTTTTTCTAATTCTGTTAAGAAAGTTAATGGTAGCTTGATAAGGATAGCATTGAACCTATGAATTACTTTGGGCAGTATGGCCATTTTCACAATATTGATTCTTTCTATCTATGAGCATGGAATGTTTTTCCATTTGTTTGTGTCCTCTCTTATGTCTTTGAGCAGTGGTTTGTAGTTCTCCTTGAAGAGGTCCTTCACATCCCTTGTAAGTTGTATTCCTAGGTATTTTATTCTCTTTGTAGCAATTGTGAATAGGAGTTCACTCGTGATCTAGTTCTCTATTATTGGTGTATAGGAATGCTTGTGATTTTTGCACATTGATTTTGTATCCTGAGACTTTGCTGAAGTTGCTTATTAGCTTAAGGAGATTTTGGGCTGAGACAATGGGGTTTTCTAAATACACAATAATATCATCTGCAAACAGACACAATTTGACTTCCCCTCTTGCTATTTGAATACCTTTATTTCTTTCTCTTGCCTGATTGCCCTGGCCAGAACTTCCAATGCTATGTTGAATAGGAGTGGTGAGAGAGGGCATCCTTGTCTTGTGCCAGATTTCAAAGGGAATGCATCCAGCTTTTGCCCATTCAGTATGATATTGGCTGTGGGTTTGTCATAAAGAGCTCCTATGATTTTGAGATACATTCCATCGATATCTAATTATTCCATCAATAAACTAATTGAGAGTTTTTAGCTTGAAGGGGTGTTGAATTTTATCAAAGGCCTTTTCTGCATTTATTAAGCATGTGGTTTTTGTCATTGGTTCTGTTTATGTGGTGGATTACGTTTGGTTTGCATATGTTAAACCAGCCTTGCATCCCAGGGATGAAGCTGACTTGATCGTGGTGGGTAAGCTTTTTGATGTGCCGCTGGATTCAGTTACAGTATTTTACTGAGGATTTTCACATCAATTTTCATCAAGGATATTGGCCTGAAATTTTCTTTTGTTTTGTTATGTGTCTGCCAGGTTTTGGCATCAGGATGATGCTGGCCTCATAAAAGGAGTTAGGGAGGAGTCATTCTTTTTCTATCATTTGGAATTGTTTCAGAAGGAATGGTACCAGCTCCTCTTTGTACCTCTAGTAGAATTTGGCTGTGAATCCATCTGGTCCTGGGATTTTTTTGGTTGGTAGGATAACTGCCTCAATTTCTGAACTTGCTATTGGTCTATTCAGCGATTTGACTTCTTCCTAGTTTAGTCTTGGGAGGGTGTATGTGTCCAGAAATTTATCTATTTCTTCTAGATTTTCTAGTTTATTTGCATAGAGGTGTTTAGAGTATTCTCTGGTGGTAGTTTGTATTTCTGTGGGATCAGTGGTGATATCCCCTTTATCATTTTTTATTGTATCTATTTGATTCTTCCCTCTTTTCTTCTTAGTCTGACTAGTGGTCTATTTTGTTAATCTCAAAAAAACAGCTCCTGGATTTACTGATTTTTTTTTTTGATTTATTGATTTTTTGAAGGGTTTTTGTACCTCTATCTCCTTCAGTTTTGCTCTGATCTTAGTTATTTCTTGTCTTCTGCTAGCTTTTGAATTTGTTTGCTCTTGCTTCTCTAGTTCCTTTAATTTGATGTTAGGTGTCAATTTTAGATTTTTCCCTCTTTCTTCTGTGGACATTTAGTGCTATAAATTTCCCTCTAAACACTGCTTTAGCTCTGTCCCAGAGATTCTGGTACATTGTGTCTTTGTTCTCATTGGTTTCAAAGAACTTCTTTATTCCTGTCTTAATTTTGTTATTTACCCAGTAGTCATACAGGAGTAGGTTGTTCAGTTTCCATGTAGGTGTGTGGTTTTGAGTGATTTTCTTAATCCTGAGTTCTAATTTGATTGCACAGTGGTCTGAGAGACTGTTTGTTATGATTCCGTTATTTTGCATTTGCTGAGGAGTGTTTTACTTTTAATTATGTGGCCAATTTTAGAATAAGTGCAATGTGGTGCTGAAAAGAATGTATATTCTGTTGATTTGGGGCAGAGAGTTCTGTAGATGTCTATTAGGTCCTCTTGGTCTGCAGCTAAGTTCAAGTCCTAAACATCCTTGTTAATGTTCTGTCCCATTGATCTGTCTAATATTGAGAATGGGGTGTTAAAATCACCCACTATTATTGTGTAGGAGTCTAAGTCTCTCTGTAAGTCTCTAAGAACTTGCTTTGTGAATCTGGGTGCTCCTGTATTGGGTGCACATATATGTAGGATAGTTAGCTTTTCTTGTTACATTGATCCCTTTACCATTATGTAATGACCTTTGTCTTTTTTTATCTTTGTTGGTTTAAAGTCTGTTTTATCAGAGACTAGGATTGCAACCCCTGCTTTTTATTTTTTATTTATTATTTGCTTTCCATGTGCTTGGTAAATATTTCTCCATCTCTTTATTTTGAACCTATATCTGTCTTTGCATGTGAGACGGTTCTCCTGAATACAGCACATTGATAGGTCTTAACTCTTTATGCAGTTTGCTAGTCTGTGTCTTTTAATTGGGGCATTTAGCCCATTTATATTTAAGGTTAATATTGTTATGTGTGAATTTGATCCTGTCATTATGATGCTAGCTGGTTATTTTTCCCATTAGTTGATGGAAGTTTCTTTATAGTGTTGATGGTGTTTACAGTTTGGTATGTTTTTGCAATGGCTGGTACTGGTTTTTTCCTTACCATATTTAGTGCTTCCTTCAGGAGCTCTTGTAAGGCAGACCTAGCAGTGACAAAATCTCTCAGCATTTGCCTGTCTGTAAAGGATTTTATTTCTCCTTCACTTATGAAGCTTAGTTTGGCTGGATATGAAATTCTGGGTTGAAAATTCTTCTCTTTTCTGTTTTTTCTTTGATTTCTGAACTTTTTATTGGCCTCCTGCTCCCCAAAAGGTCCCCTGCTTCTGCTGGCTTAATGTCTCAGAACTTTGGTGTCATTGGTCTCAGACACCACTCTGCCATCCAGTATCTGGCGGGTGGTGGTCTTTTGGATGGTTTGCGTGGAGTTGCTGCTGTCCAGGGCATCACCAAGATTGAAGTCCTTGCCATCTTCCAGAAGGTGGTGGTAGGTGGTGATCTTAGCCTCCAGCTTGACCTTAATGTTCAGTAGAGCCCGGTACTCCTGGGCCTGGCACTGTCCCTCTGCCTGGGTTTGAGCCAGGTCTGACTCCAGGTGCAGCAGGCTCCTGTTGAGCCATTCCATCTGCAGGGTGGAGTGGGCCTCCACCTCCCTCGGGCTGTTTTCCAAGCTGGTCTTATTTCTCATGGAGCCTAGGTCGATCTCCTAGGACTGGACTGTACATCTCAGCTCCGTGAGTGTCATCTCAGCAGCTCCAACCTCAGCAGACTGTGTGGTGACCACTGTGGTACTCTCCTCAATCTGCTGAGACCAGTACTTATCCAGCTCCTCTCAGTTCTTCTGAGACAGCTCATCATATTGGGCCCAGATGTCTGCATGATCTTGGCAAGGTCCTGAGATGTGGGGGCATCTACCTCCATGGTCAACCCAGAGCTGGCAATCTGGGCTTGTAGGCCTTTTACTTCCTTTTTGTGGTTCTTGTTCATGAAGAGCAGCTCCTCCTTGACAGCCTCGATCTCTGTCTCATACTTGACTCTAAAGTCATCAGCAGCAAGACAGGAATTGTCAATCTGAAGAACAATGAGGGCATTGTCCACAGTATTTGCAAAGATATGAGCCCTCAGGTCCTCAATGGTCTTGAAGTAATGACTCCAGTCTCTGACCTGGGGCCCCTTCCAAAATCCAGGTGCTCCTGGATTTTGCTCTCCAGCTTCTGGTTCTTAGTCTCCAGGCTCCTCACTCTATCTAGGTAGGAGGCCAGGCAACTGCTTTCAGGCTTTGCATGGTCTCCTTCTCATTCAGGATGCCTCCCATCTCTGCCAGACCCCTGGTCATCCCTGCAGCCAGGCCCCCAGAACCCCTGCTGCACCAGAAACTGGTGGAGTGGGACATGGAGATCCAGGAACCAGAGCCCTCAGCACCTGCATGGATGCAGGCTGGCTGCTGACTGGCTGGGCACTGTATTGGATGGAGCCCAGGGACTGGTAGTTGGTGGAGAAGGTGGAGCATTGGTGAAGCTCATGCTGCCCAGGGAGGAGAGTGAGAGGACAGGACTTAGGTTTTGCCAATGACAAAAATTCTCTTCTTTAAGAATGTCGAATATTGGCCTCCACTCTATTCTGGCTAGTAGGGTTTCTGCAGAGAGATCTGCTGTGAGTCTGATGGGCTTCCCCTTGTGGGTAGCCTGACCCTTCTCTCTGGCTGCCCTTAACATTTTTTCCTTCATTTCAACCTTGGTGAACCTGACAATTATGTGTCTTGGGGCTGCTCTTCTAGAGGAGTATCCTTTTGCTGAATTTTCCCTGTATTTCCTGAATTTGAATGTTGGCCTGTGTTGCTAGGCTGGGGAAGTTCTCCTGGGTAATATCCTGAAGAGTGTTTTCCAACCTGGTTTCATTCTCCCTGTCACTTTCAGGTACACCAATCAAACTTAGGTTTGGTCTTTTCACATAGTCCCATATTTCTTGGAAGCTTTGTTCATTCCTTTTCATTCTTTTTTCTCTAATCTTGTCTTCACACTTAATTTCATTACGTCTATATTCAATCCCTGAAATCCTTTCTTGCACTTGATTGATTCTGTTATTGATACTTGTGTATGCTTCACAAAGTTCTCATGCTGTGTTTTTCAGCTCCATCAGGTTATTTGTGTTATTTTCTAAACTAGTTATTCTAGTTAGTAATTCCTCTAACCTTTTTTAAGGTTCTTAGCTTCCTTGCATTGGGTTAGAACATGCTCCGTTAGCTTGGAGGATTTTGTTATTACCCACCTTCTGAAGCCTACTTCTGTCAACTCGTCAAACTCATTCTCCATCCAGTTTTGTTCCCTTACTGGTGAGAAGTTATGATCCTTTGGAGGAGAAGAAGCGGTCTGGTTTTTGGAATTTTCAGCTTTTTTATGCTAGTTTTTCCTTATCTTTCTGGATTTATCTACCTTTGGTCTTTGCTGTTGGTGACATTTGGATAGGGTTTTTGTGTGGGCATCTTTTTGTTGATGTTAATGCTATTCCTTTCTGTCTGTTAGTTTTCCTTCTAACAGTGAGGTCCCTCTGCTGCAGGTCTGCTGGAGTTTGCTGGAAGTTCACTTCAGACCCTGTTTGCCTGGGTATTACCAACAGAGGCTGCAGAACAGCAAAGATTGCTGCCCATTCCTTCCTCTGGAAGCTTCGTCCCACAGAGGTACCTGCCAGATACCAGCTGGAGCTCTCCTGTATGAGGTATCTGTCAACACCTGCTGGGAAGTATCTCCCAGTCAGCAGGCACAAGGGTCAGGACCCACTTGAGGAGGCAGTCTGTTCCTTAGCAGAGCTTGAGTGCTGTGCTGAGAGATCTGCTGTTCTATTCAGAGCCGGCAGGCAGGAACATTTAAGTCTGCTGAAGCTGCACCTACAGTCGCCTCTTCCCCCAGGTCCTCTGTCCCAGGGAAATGGGAGTTTTATCTACAAGCCCCTAACTGGAGCTGCTGCCTTTCTTTTAGAGGCACTCTGCCCAGAGTGAGGCAGAGTGGCTACAGCGGCTTTGCTGAGCTGCAGTGGGCTACACCCAGTTCAAACTTCCCAGCTGCTTTGTTTACACAGTGAGGGGAAAACCACCTACTCAAGTCTCAGTCATGGTAGACACCCCTCCCCTCAACAAGCTCAAGCATTCCAGGTCAACTTCAGACTGCTGTGTTGGCAGAAAGAATTTGAAGCCAGTGGATGTTAGCTTGCTGGACTCCATGGGGGTGGAATCCACTGAGCCAGACCACTTAGTTTCCTGGCTTCAGCCCCCTTTCAAGGGAGTAAATGGCTCTGTTTCACTGGTGTTCCAGGCACCACTGGGTTATGAAAAAAAACTCCTGCAGCTAGCCCAGTGTCTGCCCAAACAGCTGTACAGTTTTGTGCTTGAAACCCAGGGCCCTGGTGGCGTCGGCACCCAAGGGGATCTCCTGCTCTGTGGGTTGTGATGACTATGGGAAAAGCTAATATTTGGACCAGAGTGCAGCATTCCTCACGGCACAGTCCCTCACGACTTTCCTTGGCTAGCAGAGAGACTTCCCCAAATGCACTTCCTGAGTGGGGAGATGCCCCACCCTGCGTCTGCTCACCCTCCATGGGCTGCACCCACTTCCTAACCAGTCCCAGTGAGATGAGCTGAGAACCTCAGTTGGAAATGCAGAAATCACCCATCTTCTGCATTGATCTCACTGGGAGCTGCAGACCAGAGCTGCTCCTATTTGGCCATCTTGCCTGCAACTCCCTCGCTTTCCTCTTTACTAGCATGTTGCCACATACCGATTTTAAGAACACTTTTGGCAGATTTGATCCAAGATAACTCGGAAGAGCACTGATGGCAACCATTCTCCCCTTTGGTAATTTTTAAGAAAAATAATGCTGTTCCCTCTCTCTTTGTAAATGGTGACTGCTTTCTCCCCTCCATCCTGTATTTTCTCTGCATATTTCCTTCTTGGTGGCAGTAGCAATTCTCAGAACAGAGAATAACCTAGAAATCTAGGTTTGATTAGCAAGTAATATCTCTAAAAAGAGCTTGCAAACTTTCTATTATGAACCAGGGATGTTAACAGAAACTGTGTTACAGTCATTCCTTTCCAGGGACAAAGCTGGTCTCATAATCTGTGAGCATTACTCCAAAGTGAGAAGCCATCAGGCTCTGCATGTGGCTGTCAGAATGAGCTTCCTATCCAGAGAGATATCTGCTGGGGAAAGCCAGCCCCTTCATGTGGCAGATGATGTCAGGAAGTGGTGGCTGGGTATCATCATAGCCATCATTTTGCCTTGCTAAAAAAGGCATCAAAAGGGGACAGAACACACCTTCCTTTGGGGGTGGTTATCCTGGGCTCCTTATATGTGAGCAAACCCCTCTTCACTCATTCCTCTGGGACTGGGAGTGAGTGTGCTTGTGGCAGCTGTCTAAACGAACCTCTTAGCCAAAAGGGTGCAGACATTCTTAAATGTCACACAGCCTTATCTTAAATGAAGGCCAAAAGGTTGCCCCAAATAATCTCTGTGCCCTGATAGCCTGAAACTTGGGTCTCATTATTTTTTAAAGAGTCTACATAAGCTAGCACAGAAAATGGAGCTATTCCTATTTTTCAGCAAGACTTTAAAGCATCCCTACAACAAGTATGGAAAAGAAAAAGCTGAGTGCTTCTCTGTGCTTGTAAGAAGGTAAACTCCATAGGGGAGAGATGGCATGTTTTGTTCAGTTGGCACATGTCAGTATGACTACAACAATTGGTAAAATGCTGAAATACTTCCAGACCAGTTAACACTTACTGTGCTGAGCAAGGCCCCAGAAACAGCCAACCACTAACAAAGACGGTTAGTGACTGGCCCACTAGGGACCGACGGGATCTGTTTCAGTGCCTCAGCTTACATCTGTTCTGGTTGGCCATTGCCAGAGCCCTAGTAGCTATTGATATTCTGCAGATCATCCCTATTGCAGCCTCAGCATCTGAAGCTGTGCCTGGCATAGGCCCTGATATGGTTTGGCTGTGTCCCCACCCAAATCTCATCTTGAATTGTAGCTCCCATAATCCCCACATGTTGTGAGAGGGACCCAGTGGGAGGTAAATGAATTATGGGAGCGGTTACTCCCATGCTGCTGTTCTCGTGATAGTGAGCTCTCACAAGATCTGATGGTTTTATAAGGGTTTTCCCCCTTTTCTCAGCACTTTTCTCTTGCCTGCCGCCATGTAAAATGTGCCTTTGTTTCTCCTTTGCCTCCCAACATGACTGTGAAGCCTCCCCACCCATGTAGAACTGTGGGTCCATTAAATCTCTTTTTCCTTTATACATTACGTAGTCTTGTGTATGTCTTCATTAGCAGTGTGAATGGACTAATACAGAACCCCCAAATATGTATTTGCTGAGTGACTGGATAAGGACACCCATATATTCCAGCCACCTTTTGGTAAGTGGTCTATGAAGGTGGGCACAGGCCCTGACTAAAGAACTGCCTGTTTTGCTGAGGAAGGGACCTGAGCTGAGAAGACTCATTTACTCTTAAAGACTTGAGAAAACGTGACATCTGTCTTGGAACAGAGAATGCTGCTGAGCAGCCCAGGCACAAATCACCCCAATGGAAGCCAGGCTCTGCCTATACTTGGTCTTGAGGCAGCCGGGCAGACATCATGGGACTCCAAGTCACCCCCACGCACATCCCCAGGCTTAAAGGCAGGACTGACAGTGCACTCATAACTGCCAACACACCGATATTAAAATCCCATCCGATTAGTTAAAGCTCACCCTGTGAGCACTGATATTTTTCAGGAAATAGGAAGGATGTCTGCCCCCCTCCCCTCCCACCTCCTGCCCTTTTCTCTTGGTTTTCTTTTTTAATAACACATTCAGAAGTGTTTTAATGGCTGTTGAAGGAAATTATTGCCACAGCAATCAGGGCTCTCTGTGTGAAACACCTTCAATAGTCCGTGGCCTCCCTCATGAGGCAGGGGGACATTTGGATATTAAAATGCCACTGAGCTACATCTGCCGACAAGCAGCCACTAATCATCTCTTAAGGCAGCAGGGGACGTACCCCAGGTCCTCAACTCACTAATACCTTCCTTAGGCGGATTGCAGCCAGATGGTGGTTTCCTAGGCAAGGACAGCAGAAAATGAGAAATAAAGAAGTGGAAAAGGATCTGGCAAGAGGCCAGCACAGAGAGAACCATTTGCTCATCCTGTCTGCTCCAGGTGAGAACAGACCTGCATGCCTCGCATTTGGGAGGTCCAATTTTCAGCTAAGTGGTGCCTCAGAGGAAGCATGTGACCTTACTTGCAGTTATACCCAAAGACTATAATTTTTTTTTAAAATGCTCCTGTAAGTTGAGCAGCTTCTACATGCTGGGATGGGGGATACAGTCATTGGCCTTCCTGGATTCTCCTTCCTGCTTTTCCATATTCTTCTGAGCCTGGGATGCTGATCTGCCTAGAAGTCTCCCTTTTCCTCTGTCTTCCATTGGAGTTTGGCCAACGGGAAGAAGCAGCCAGAGTTAGGAGGGTGGGAAGAGTAAAGTCGGGATGTTTATTCTCCAGTTCACACCCTGTAGAGATACCACCAGGGGTTGGCAGTAGACGTCCTGGCATCAACCTCCGCTCCTATTGGATGACTCTCTCCATCATGCTAGCTGGATGTAGTAAGCGCTCCGGATTCTGACAACTGTTCTCTCCTCTGCCCTTCAGGCTAACAGCTATAACAACTACCCTCACTCCCCGCTCATACACACCATTGTCAGACAGGTACTGTGCTGTCTCTTGTGAGTCTCTCTATCCCTGCTGCACCTTTGTAAGTGGTCTCCTAATTTCTCTCTCCTCCAGTTACCCAGTTTGAATGTGCCATCTGTTCCTTGCTGGGCCCTGGCTGCCAACCAGCTGCATGCGGGTCTTTCTGTACCTTTTTGGAGACCTTCATATCACTCTTGCAATGTCATCACGACAGCCTTCCTTTACAGAGAAGACACCATGTGACTCACCCAAAGGCACTCAGCTGGAATTTGTGACTCTATTCATCAGAAGCATGTCAGTCTCACTTCCAAGTGTAGGCCCTATTCGCTGCCCTGCTAGGGTCTCTTAGACCTCACAGGGGTCCCGAAATCTTTACCTCAATCTTCTGTCAGCACCAGCTGTTTTATGAACTAAACGTTGCTTACCAGCCTTTGGATCAAAGCAGTTCAACACCTTTGATTTCATTTGAGTCTCAGAACACGAATTTACTTGGATCCAAATCATTCCTGGACATACCAAGAACCTACAGATGAAAAGGAGTCCAGCAAAGGATCTGTTGGCAGGGGATTGGTGGCCTTGTCTCATCTTTCAGTGTAAGGTACACCTTGGGCACCCAGGAATGTCCTGGGGAGGTGTGACATTGTCCCAGCAAGTGAAGGCAATGTGTGTACAGCTTGGGCTAGAGCAGGGATCATTCTGCCTGGTTCAAAAGTCCACTCTTCCTTTTAATACATGGCATGACCCATCTATATTAGGGTAAAGCATACCTCCTGGAGAAAGCAATCTTAAGATACAGTAAAGAATACGGTTTTTCATTTCTTCTTCTCATATGTTAGCATCTGATTTGGACATTCCAGGCTGGCAGGCCACTCTGCCCCATGCAGACATCAGGAACTCTGGTACCTTTCAGCTTATAACTGCATGTCCTGGGCAGTGCTGCTCAAAGTGTGGAGCATACGCAAATACCAGTTCACAAACCTCTTGGTAAAAGTCCACCATGAATTGAGTCATGACATGGATAATACGCTTTCAGAAACTCTTACCACGATTTGACATTGCCATGACATCCAGGCACATGACAAATGGACTCATCTCATTGAACAGGTTGTAGACCAAAAGTTGGTCTGTGATAGATGGGAACTGGAGTTGGGTGGAAATCCTGTTCTTCAACACAGGTAGTTTGAGGAATCCTGCTTTAGAGTCTGCTAATCTAGCTGCTCATGTCTGTAGCCAGCAAGAAAGGGGGAAGAGCGTGGAAGAACCACACTCTATGTCTTTGTTGTTGTTGTTGTAGAGCATCTGTTCCATTTTTATAGCTTGAGAACAGTACAATCAACTATTTATTTTGCAGTAACTCATTTCAGTGATTGAGAATTTCTGTGATGTGGAGAGAGACGGCCTGTATGTGGTCTCATCATTCACTTGATTCTAACATGGCCTCTGCCCAAAGTTCCATTTCTTGGGCTTTAATATTTATTCCTAGGTGCAAACACTGCCTGCTCTTCACCTTGTCTTATGCTTTCTGAGCAGGTTCAAGCCAGAAAGAAAAGGTAAAGTTAGAAGCCCAAAGTGAGTAAGTGTGAGAACCACAAGGAAGCCCACGGGTCCACAGCAGATGATCAAAACCGCGTCCTTGTGTGGGAGGTAGCACTTGGACAGGGCGTAGTCTGTGGGTGTTGTGCTACCCATGATGAAACTGGGGTTGTTTCTGTTCCTCCAACTGAAAGACAGGATGCTGAGCTCGGGGATTCACCCCCAGTGGTGCACTGTGTGTGCAGCCACTGAGGACCAGGTGCGGCTGGAGCCACCCACATCAGCTTTTGTGATGCCTCCCGAGAAAGCACATCATAGTTCTCCTTAAATGGGATGTTCCTTTCCTCCAGAGGAGCAGCATCTTCCCCAGAACAGTTAGCGTCACTTCTCCGATACAGAGGATAATGCTCTCGGGAGCAATTCAGTCTGTGAGAAACTTCAATGAGTTCTGCTTCTGCTTCAGAACAGATGCCGCAGCCATCCCCCTTAAGCACCATGCTGTCACCATCATGA